AGGATTGTGTTTTAAAGTCAAATTAGTACCATAACAAGTTCTGGATCGATGTACTTCAGTCCCAAAGTCATTTGTTCTTTCTGTTCACTCAGTCCTTCTCCAAGCAACTACGTGATGCCTAACACTGTGGGTTTGGTGGCATGGAAAGCCACACACTGGGAGCTCGTCTCAAAACAACCAGCTTCAGCTCAAGTACAAGACCAAATCTTTACACAACAGTAACTACTTTGACAAATTCAGGATGGAGGTCAACTCCAACAAGGGCATGAAATACCCACATTTATATGGAGCCCCTGATTAATGTCTTACCATGCTTTAATAAAGACAGGAACTGAGTATATGGAACTTGGCATCTGGGTAAATGATGCCTGTGTATAAAATGCAGTTTGCATCCCATCTGCGCTACAAACTAAAACAATGTGGTCAGCCAGTACTGATTTTTGCTGTGCTTGTAGTTTAGGTAAATCCAATCTCTATTTACCTACCTCATGACTGAGAAGAGATCAAATCCAGTTGAAGATTTTAAGAGAAAAGAGTATTACATGTAGACAGGAGAGCTAAAAGACCCCCACATGATACAGATGTGTTTGTGCAATTTGTGCCATGGAAACATAGAGAGAATTGATCGGTCAGGCTGCCTGTGGCTCTGCACAGGCTTTTGTGCATGAACGACATTTTAATAAACACTGTGCCCATGCCCTAAGCAATTACATAGACATCCTCAGAGCTATTGGAAGACAAAACTGACAGAAGGATGAATCATGACCCCAAATGGGCAGTGTCACAGAGCTGGTGGAAGGCTGAAGCGTGACCTCAATTTCACCCCCAACTGGACAGTGTAATACAACTCCTGTCCAACCCATGCATCTTAACAAAAAAGCAAAAACCTACACCAGAATGTAAGCAATACTTCAACAGATGCTGTATTAAACCAGACCACGGTCTGAGATACATGTGTTCTGCGAGGGAAAGAGGGAATGAAATAATCAGCCTGAGGGTACACTCCAGTATTTCTTCAGTGACTTTTGTACATGAAGTCTTGCATCTTTTCATTGTCTCAACACTCTAGGCAGTTTCCATCGTTTAAAAAGAAAAAAAACCCAGCAGTCCACGAAGAGAGTTATTTGGGCCTGTAGCTATTTGTGTTTTAACATATCATCAAAATGTTGAACTGAAGTGAATTAAAAAACAGCTAATTTATACTGTGGATGATGTGGTGCATGGTCAAATATGAAGCATATCGGTGAGTCTTATTTTCCGATGTAAAAGCTTGGTCTGCATAGGAATTCAGACTCCAAACCTAAATATTTTAGAGAACTATTCAATTACATAAGAAAGACATTCTATACTTTTCTGTTTTGGGGGCTGAAAAAGTGCCAGTGAACTTCTGTGCTCTTCTACCTTGTGAGGACTACACATTGCAGTCATGTTAGAAATGTGGCAACTGAATTTAGGAGTGGTCCTTGCAGTTTAACTCCATAACGAATTAGACAAAGAATATGTGTTTTCAACTCCTACGCAGGCATTCATAGTCATTTTAAAAGGGATGAAAAGTCCTGATAGCTTGCTCCTGAGCTGCTATGATGCAACTCAGGCATAAAGTCATCAAGAAGTAGACTTTTTGTAGTTCTAATTGTTTCTTAATTAGGGAAGAGACTACAGTGCATGTGTGGTTTATAGTATTACATAACACAAACAGCATTCATTTTAACAATTGTCTAAATGCACATTTAAACAATTAGCCAATATATCGCCTCAAATATTATCATGTAAAAAAAATAATTCTTTTAAAAGCACTCAAATGTAGTTATAGTAGGAAAGCCATAAAAACCTATTTAAATGATGCAAGAAGTCTGATCTGAACCAGGTGGACAGAACATCAATCCTAGAATGTCTTGATTCTGTCGGTTTATATTAAAAGCTGGTAGAGGGATTAAAAAAGTAGATGAGACCAAATCTTCACCTAAATTCAACTAAAGAATTTGTTTTAGAGAAACACAAGGGCAGAATCCATGGTAGTGCAGAAGATGATGTGGACAGGCCAACTGACTTTGTCTCAATGTATTGCTCCAAATTCAGCTTTTGGGAACCCTGTCCAAAGACACTGCTCTCTTTCTCCCTCCCCCTTTTTGCCAAACACTGATGGTGTGAGGGCAGGACAGGGAGAGATGAGAAAGATCCTAGAGAAGGGAGCTTCCAACCATATGCTATTCTGTTTTCTACTACTGCATAGTAGACTTCAATTTTTTAAACTTTATTTAATGTCCCTCATATTATCATATATATATATCATATGCACTATTAGTATGCATTATATCATCACATTCATTTCCCCTGCTTGCCTCAAAATCTCTCAATGTACGTTCCCTCATGCTTTCTGTGCCTCTGTGCCCAGTTCCACTGAGCTGTGTAATGTAAGCTAGAAAATTTTTTTCTCTCATGCTCAAGGACTCTTGTATTTCTCCTCCATGTTCATGCATCTTTTCCTATTTTTCCTTAAAAATAAAAAAAATTACAGTAGACTTTCCTCCTCTTCTCTTTCTACCCACATACTAAAGAGGTACCTTCACCTATTACGTGCCAGAGCAAATGACACAAAATTAAAGGACTAGGCATTCTGCTTCTGGCATAAATGACAGCTCAACTGTTGTAACCTTTGCTTGTTCTCTAAAAGTAAGTTGTAGAGGCCTCAGTTGATATTTAAATCCCTTTTGGGGGGTGGGGGGGAGAAATCTATAGTTCACCAGCAGTGTTAGGGAAGTCATCTCGCTCCTTAGTGAGAAGAACCATAGGACAAACAGCAGCTACCAGTGACAACCCATCACGAAGCAATGAAAGTACAAATAGGAGTAAAGACTGGCAAAGTTTGGAATTTGGAGGAGCGAGAAAAGCAAAGCAGGAAAAAAAAAATTTGGGACAGAGGACCACAACTGAAGGGAGACAGAGACACATGGCAATACTGAGCTGTATAGCCCATGGGAGAGCACCAACTCTGGGATTAAATCCCACAAAAGCTTCCAGAACATGTTCAGGTTCATTCTGAAAACTTGACAGGTATATGGGAATTATGAATATGAATAAATATGTTATTGAAGCAGCTGCTTCTTTAAGTAAAAGATCAGGAAAGATAGGAGTCAAATGCCTGCCAACAAAAATGGCAGGCTTCTCCAGCAGGAAGAATATGGCAACCTTGAAAAAAAAAAAAAAACAACAAACTAGGGTTGAAGTGACTGATTTTGTTCTAAATATCTCAAGGGGGCAAAAAAAGACAGGAGGACAGGGCTGTTGCAGCAGTTGGGGTTGGAAAGCAAAGTGGAGCTGTGACAGTTTTATTCTAGTTTTAGATGTGCAGTATGCAGAATTGACTCAAAATAGCTAGGCAATGATGCCTGTTGCATTCTGGAGATTAGGATCAGGCAAAGGCTTTATGCTGGCTGCCAGCATTTGAATAGTTTTGAGACATTTCAGAAGATTATGTGATTCCAGCAGACCTTTATTTTTTTAAAAAAGAAAAAAAACAACAAAACTAGTGGGTGCTTTTAATAGATGTCGAGTACAGTCAGGCTTTGTTTGAGAAAGCACTGCTTATTCTGAAATAAGCAGGATCCAGACAAAACGCTTCATCAGTCCACTACCTCCTAACAAGATCTTTACTTAGGAGCTCTAGGCTCTCATCTACCCATTGTTTTGAGTAAAATCCAACTTGAAAGAGAAGTCAGAACCACCTAACTGGGAGCAAAAGTTGCTAGCTAAACAGGCAGGGCATGGGTGATGTTAAATGGAGAGTCACTCCAGGACAAACCACAGTGTCTCAAAAGCTTGTATCTGGATTCTGAGCTGTGAATATCGTTTGCCCTCAGTGTGAGTGGAGCCTCGAGCAAAAGTGATGAGGGAACTACTGTTTGCTCTCACTCACCTGAGCAGGATCCTCACCATGTACAAGAGGACAGTCACAAGCACTAAGGGAGTTGTGCTCATGTTTTTGGCCAAGAGGAAATGAGATGAACAAGAGATGACAATCTGTGTGATTAAAAAAGCTGCACAACCCCTGCATTCACTCCATGAGCAGTGGCAACTGGATGGCTTCAGGATTCCAACCTAAATCAGACAAAAGCATCTGGAAAACTGGTATGAGACCACAACACTTACTTCACTGAAGACGCACAGTAGTCACCAGCTATAGAAATCATAGATTGTCCCTTTTTCCTTTCTTTTTCTTTTTTTTTTTGTCAAAAATTGGAAATTGTGACTCACTAGCTCTGTATCCTACAAATCCTACCCCCTGCAAGGAAGTTTAATCATTCGCAGCCACTCCCATCACATTGTAGTCAGTTGAAAAGGCTTCAGTTTTTAAAGAAAACTTGTGATTTTCATAACATTTTCTTCTCATACTGAAGTAAGCCATTTAAATCTCTCTACTTTATTACATGCTCCAGTATACCAAGCAGTCTGAACACAGGGAAATGGATTAGATAAATAGAAATATTTTTGTTATGACCTAATTTAAGGATCTTAAAAATAATATGACTACTTCAAAAACTGCAAGGCATCAAAAGGCTTAAAAATATTGCGGAGACATGAGAGTGCAAGATATCTGGCAAGTATTGATAGAGTAACATTTAACTTGAATGAGAAACAGGAGGCATTCAGAGACACATGGTTACCATTCACATAAATTTATGACCAGGGCACTTCTGTTACTGTAATACTCTTTGTACCAGGAGCCATATGCAATGGCTCGCTCTTTTATGTGCAATGTCCGTTTATGTCATATTGGTGAAAATTAAAGAAAGGTTTGAATCTGGAATTTGCTGGCCGCCAGTACAACATAAGAGATGAAGGTAGTACAGCTTCTGCTCTTTGTAAAAGAAATCAACAGCCCTAGGAGAAGGAAACATGCAGCTTTTACAAACTTCACAGTAAGTGATGGAGGAGATGGCTGGGAGACAAAAAAGTATACCTACCCCATCCTACATGCAATTAACATCAGTCTAGTACAGTTCAAACTACACCTTTAAGAAAGCTGCCTAAAGTTTCTATCAAACTAATGAATGTACTGCTTCCTTGATTACCTTAAAAGTTCATTTGTGCATCTGCAGTAGCACTGAAACTTCATTAGCATTACAGCCTGTTCTAGAGGACACCTTTAGTAAGCCATTTCCTACCACACAGTTGATGGTTTTCTGGTTCTTTCAACAGAAATTTAAAATGAGCAGTGCAAAACACAGTCTGCAAAGCAGACACACAATGCCATCTGTACTGCAATTCCCTCATTAGTTTTACAGTTTATACTATCTTCCATATTACATTCCATCTCACAGAAGCATTTAGACATCACAGCAGCCTGACTAATAAAAGCCCAAATTATAAATAGTAACAACTTCTCCTTATCAGGCAATAAGTGTCCAGGATCCCAAATATGGTGAAGCAATTCGTAAACTGAAGAAATGAGTTGTAGGAAAAAATATTCCAACTCCTATCACAAACTGTTTTTCCAGAGGGTGTCTGCCTCTACCTGTACACCAAATTCACATCGTTAAGATGTCATAGGAAGAACTCCTCAGCCACACGATGTTTAGCTCAGTCCTTTGATTCTTGGGTAAGATGCCTGACCTCCTCAAATCATTTTTTACTCCCTGGTTTGTGAGGTTTATGGCTCCTCCTAAAGGCATTTACTTCAAGGGAAGAAAAATCCTATGCCTAAATCCATAGGAAATACTACTGCCATAACACTAACCCAAGCTTGTTTTACCTCTTGCTGTTTCTTTAAATTCCACTGCATGTGTCTGCATCTTTCTGTCATCTCTTGTACTCCCATTGTCCTCTCTCTGAGGGTATTTGCACAGCCCAATACAGCACTGTAAATCCCTGAATCGGGCATCAGTTTGTAGCACATCTACACAAAAGCAACACGCAAGCATAACATACAGCACTAGCACACTTACGTTTCCAGTGCCTGGGTAAGCTCACTCAAAACTAGGCGAGGTATTTCTGCACATCTTTGCACTGCACTATGGAATCAGGCTCTCTAAAGAAGAAATAATCTTTCTGCTGTTTGCATAAAGCACCTTGTTTAACACCAAGGCTCAAAAGTGAAGCCCCTAGGCGCTGCACAAATAAACAGTAGCAACAGAGCCCTCTTGTATATTCCTAAAAACCACAAGTACACTTAGTTGGCTGCGGAGAAAAATGTTTTCCCTTTTCCTATGATAAAGCAACATGCCAGTGTGGCTCTCTACAGTAAAACATGGACAGAGGAGTCACAACACAGTACAACTCCACAGCAGGCTATGCACGGTGGGCAGAGCCCAGCCCAACACCTATGAGAACTCCAACCTGAACCAGAGACAAGAAAACTCCACGTTTTAATAGCTCATTCCCATTTCTTTACAACAGTGCAGCCAGATCCAAAAGCAGCAAGGCCACAGCTGAGGTTAAGCCTAGACAAAAGTCTTCTCATAGGTAAAGGTTCTTCAAAGGGAGATGGGTTTATTAAGTCAGAAACATTTTATCCTGTGAGTCGGTGAAACCTCAAAAGCATAAGAGCATCATTGTTCCAAAGGAAAGCAAAACGTTTTCATGTAATACACTTCTTCCTCCAGCCTCCCTGACCATTGCTTCATCAAGAATGTCCCTTTTCCTACATCTTTCTACTAAAAAGGCTACTTTGGAGAATAATAGTGCATTTTCCAGATGGAACATGTTGTTTTGCTTCTTTGTTTGTTTGCTAACAACCCCCCCCCCAAAAAAAACCCAAACCCAACAATGACCCCAAAATGACAAAAAAAAATAATTTCCACTTAGAAGCATTCTTGGCAGGAAAAAAAAAAAATTAAGTACCTCACGCACACAGCAGAAAGATTGTTGGTTGTTTCACTCTGCTGGAATGCTTTACAAAATCACTTACATCCCCATATGGAATAAAATGTCACAGCAGTTCTCGACACTTCACCTATATTTTACAAATACCTCAGTTAAGAGGTCATGTAAGTTTTGCTCTCAGTCCTTCAGTGTGCTTTGATCTTTCTATAGTATTTTTATGGTAATTTTCAGATTACAGAGAAAATGGATTCCATTTAAAGGACATGGATTATCATACTGGAGAGTAAAGAGGAAAGGAGAGGAATAAGGTTATGTATCATGGATAAAATTTTCAGAAGTTCCTATGAGTTACATATTTAATCCCATTCAATTTCAATGGGATTGAGAAACCCAGTATGACCTAGATGCTGTCCCCATGCTAATTAGGTAAGTGCCTAGACCCCCCCCCCCCAAAAAAAAAACACTTCACACAGTAGCTTAGCTACAGACTTCCAACCAGGGCTGTACCTTATTCAAAGAAAATACTGGCCATAGACAATCCCTCTCACAATTTGTGTAAAGCGTAAAGGGACGCAGCATTATCTACATCACTGGGAGTTACAGACATCATAACTTTTTTGGAAGTCAAGGCATTTGGAGCCTTTAAGGGTCTATTCTTTCAATAACTACAATCATCTGAAATTAATATGTGAAATATTAAAAAGAAATTTTCTGTCCAGCTTTCAGCATTTGTGGAGATGTCTGCTTTTTTTTCCCATCAGCATCTGAGCAGCTGATAAATGAGAACTTCAGGAAGCTTGTAATGTTGCCATGTAAGACATTATCACCCCAAACCTTTAACAGTAGCTTAAGCACACTGTAAACTGACTGCAGTATACTAAAATTGGACAAGAGAGTTAGTATGCATCATTTGGGTAGGACAACATAACAATTTTACACCATTTGTAACCAACCTCTTGCTGCTTGTGTTATGCAATTAATGCCATTCACACTTTAACAAAGAAAAAAAAAAGCAAAACCCCCAAGGCTTCACTGCTTTTCCTAAACGTGACTACCCCTTTGCTCTGTTATTATAAAGACATTCCTATTCGTATGGATGACTGATGGAGGGTTTACAAATTAAGAATTCCCAAAAGCTGCTTTAAAGCTACATTTCACAGATTTTTTAATTCAAATTCCATATTAGAAGAGGGGATTAGTGTCACTGTTATAGAGATTACCACACATTACTATAAAGACTTACAGAATTTTGAGTCAGTGCCATCGAAGCAGAACACTGTGCTGTATGGGAAACTGTTACTGCACTTAATAATAGCTCATAATATGTTCAGAAATGCATCAAATCAGAAAAAAACTCAGATCTAATTAATTATGTTCATATATTTAAAATAATGCATGCAGTGCTTTACAATTATTTGCTCTTCCATAAACATGGTGTTATTTTGACATTTAAGCAAAAAGTCTGCTCTGATTTATTTGCGGATTAAGTTGTATTTTTGTGCTAAATGCTCAGCTACTCTGCCCCACAGACCAAAACATGACATTTGCTCATATATGGTTATTCTCAGATGCATGGAAAGAAAAAAAAAAACACAAAACACAAACCCCAAAAAACCCAAACCAAGAAGTTACTCAGTTAAAAGCTCTCTCCATCTGCCTGCAGTTTTATTAATAACTCATCACCATGGTATCACAGCATCTTAAGGAAAATAAAACAGACAGATAGTTGCTAGGCTTTCCAACCTCTAAGGATAAAAGGGAATACTTCTTGAGGAAGAGTGGGAGAAACTGTTTTGGTCTTGTTTCCTTATCACCCTTGAGGGCGAGGCTAAGCCAAGAGATGGGCCTCATGTTCTGTTCTGAAAGCTGCAAGTATTGTGGCCATCACTCAAATCTGTCATCCATGACCCAATTTTCTGCATTAGCACTTACATAAAAAAACCAGAAATCCAAGCTGTGAAGGGACAAAACCTAAGCAAAAGGGAATCGGATGAAGGAATGCATTGCTTTCTTCAGCACTCCCATTTAACCCTCAAAAGGTCTCTTCAACCACATCACTGTTGCCCCCATTCATATTAACCTAAAATGAGCTGTTTGCTGACATGCACTGAACTCTGCCCTGCAGAAGGGGCTCCAGGATCAGCACATGGCACAGACTTGACCTCACTGAGCCCCGTGGTGTCGTGCTGTAAATGCATCTGACATCAATGGTGGGAACCAGAGAACAGTTCAGTGACAGGTCCTCTACCCAGAAGAGTCTCAGCTGTTTCTCACAAGGATTTTCAAAGTTACTGAGTTTGAGAAGTGCAACCATTTACCCGTAGCACTCTCCCCATCAATACTGAGAGAGAAGATGCCCCCACATCTCTGCCAGGTTTAGGCTCTAGAAAGAACAGGCAGCCTGCACACACTTGTAAACATTATCTGTTTCAATAAGTGAAGTGAGCTCAAAATATGCTATAACATCTTCAGAATTCTAATATAGAGAAGCATCAAGCTTAAATGCAGTAAAACACATACGGCAGACAGAGTTTGTTCGCAGTCGACATCCCCTTTCAAAAAGCATGTACTGCAAGGTTGCTTATGTCCGACTGTTGCCACACTGTTATTCCAGGAAAAAGTGGGACAGCAAAGGGAAATCCTTAAAAACAACATATAGACTGGAGTGTACAAGAACGGGCTTCCTACTTATAAATAATTACAGTATTGACTAAATTCATTCTAAGGCCAAAGAGCAATGCAGTCAGAAGTCACACCTTTAGTTGGTACACTATTCTGCTTTAGTGTCTCATGAGCCGGAAAGCTTTACAGAACCATTATGTCTAGTGCCCCAGAGAGATGTCCAGACGTGCAAACTATCCAGTCTACCATCTGTGAGAGGTACAGTGAGTGGTTACACCATTTCCTTCACTTCCCCCTCTTAAGACAAGAAAGCAAACAGGGTTTCAAAAAAAAAAAAAACAAACCACCAACCAACAGCATGGTATGTGGCAGATTCATCTCCAGTGCCACCTCCTTCAAGTCCCAGCACTCATTATTTTCTTCACATGTAAGGTTAACACAGCAAAAAGATTGGGCAGCTCAAGGGGGAGAGAAGACAAGCATCACCAGAGAAGCGCCTTCCCCACTGAAGGGCTGGCACGACACAAAATGCCACAAGTGGCAGGCCTGCCCCACTCCCCCAGAGAT